GGTCACAAGCATGCAGGGAATATATCACTGCACCATTACATCTCCAGTTATCTGGATGGAGTCATACTTAGAAGATGTTTTTACCAAATCTGAATGTCACAGCAAAACCTCATCAGCCCATGGATCGTTTTTTTGGTCCTCTGTCGACCAATTTTGACGAGCCTGCGTATAATTGTATCATCAGATTCTTGCATTTACCTGACAGGAGTGGTAAGTAGTGTGGTCCACTGTTTGCTGTTGTAGCCCATCTGTTTCAAGATTTGAAATGTGGTCCATTCAAAGATGCTCTTCTACAAACGTTGCTTGTAGCAAGTGGTTAGAGTTACCTTCTTTTCGGCTCAAAGCAGTCACACCATTATCCTTTGACTTCTGACGTCTGCAACACATTTTCCCCACGAGAACTGTTGCTATTCTATAGTTTCTCTTTTCAGGCTAGAGATGATTGTGTGTTGAAATCCCAGTATATCAGCAGTTTGTAAAATATTCACAACAGCCCATGTGGCACCAACAACCCATGTCACATTTAAGCTATCTAAATCACCTTTCTTCCTGACACTAAGTTTAAACTTTTGCAGGTGGTCTTGATTATGTCTACATGTTTAAGTGTATCGATTTGCTGCCATGTGATTGGCTGATTAAGGATGTGCATTAAGGAGCAGCAGAACTAATGTACCTAACAAAGTGGCCAGTGGTGAAAATCATATTCACCTTGTAAATAAAAAGATATAGTTTCAGCCAGATGCACTGACCAACAGGAGAACTGTGTTAACTTTAATGGTATGAAATAGCTATATTCCTACTGTTTTCAGTATAACGAACCATACGTTGAAGTTATTTTTATTTGATATAAGTTTTTTTTTATTGCTGCTCAAAAACAAGAGACAAGTGTTCTTTACATTTGTGTTTCCTTTCTTTTGTAAAGCGACATAAACAGATCCTTTTGTCACGTTTCTGTCATGGTACCTAGCAGTGCCGTCAGTTCTTGTAAGCAGGTCAAAACAAAAGGTAAAATAAGATGATGTGACCTATATGTACAATAGTGTATACAGCAGAATCCATAACAGCTGTCACACATGTACAATATTTAAACACAGTGGTGGATGGAAGGCCAGAAGTGACCTGCTTTATTAGCCAAACACAGAGTCCTCCTTCCCTTCTACTTTTGTGCAGACCTACGGTTGTATTGATGGACGAGCTCCAATCAGATAATGGGTTTTAAACACAAACGTTCCTGAGGCCGGGACATCTGGAGAGACACTACACAGAGAGGACAAGACAGCACAACATCTTCACATAACAAATGAGAAGATGGTGCATCCTGGATTTCTCGGAAAACCAGATCCTACTCAACATTAAATCAATGATCTACTGGTTTATTATTATATACAATGGAAGAATGTAATGTGGTCGGGATAATAGTGCCCAGCTGGCTTCTGTGGAACTTCTCTGTTTGTTTTGTCACTTTTTTTTCCACATCTTCCACTTTCTATCATTTTTTTCACTTGACATTTATTTAGAATTATTTTAACAACATACAAAACAGGGATGTTATTGACATTTTAAAAGCTCTGCTTCTTATGAAGTCAGTTTTTTGTAAGAGTTCTATTACAAACCCAAAATGCAATTACTATACATTTTTGGATTACCATAAATTATATTACATAAATATGTCTAATTCTCTGAACCACACAAACAAACAAACAAAATTGTAAATCGTGATATAATAACAATGTGCAGCGACACTTTAGCTAGCTGAGTGACGGTCAGGCTAAACCATTCAATACTTTCATGTTTAACATGCTTTTAACTCAATTTTAATTCTTCACTATAGAAACTCACTTTGTTATACATGAAACGCCTACATATTAATGATACTGTTAAAATAAAAGTAACAAAGCTAACTACTCTACCTTAGCTAAAAGCTAGCCTTGCTGGGTAAGTATGTGAACTGTCATAGAATACCAAGAATTTGCATATTTTAATATGCGTAATTTATCAATGAACTATTCATACATATAATTTACATAAATACTTTAGAAATCTGTTAAAAACTTAAAAATAAAACATGCATCGTTACTTATAAGTCAAATAACAACGTGAATATTTATTTTAATATCCAAATTTGAGCAGGTTTAATCATGCATAACGTTCACAACTAAAATTATTCTTCCTGTTCACCAATCTAATAAATAACTGTAATTTGGCATCTTAATCAAAGATAATAATTTTCTTTATAATTTTTTCTTCTTTTTTATGAAACGGTAAATTTGAAAACTCATGGATAGCAACAAGAATGATATCTTGTAACATTTAAATTAAAATGCTTGTGTATACTGGTGAATTACAAAAAGATAAAATAATTGTTCATTACCAATATTGTTAATTTAGGGGAGCTGTAACAAAAACCTTGGGTGGAGCTCTAATAACTTTTATTTTAATGCTACATGTAGATCTAAAAAAACGATGTAGCTTTAGATTTCTTTCACATCCCTTACCCTCATAATTGAGAACTACAAAGTTTTATATGCCAACTTTTAACCTTTCTTAGTAAAAAGAAGAAACAATCTTTGAGGTTATGTAGCTCCTGTATATACTGGTTCCTGAAGCTTCTTCTGGCCCTGATTGTTTCTGTGGTTACTGCTCTCTGCCTTTGTGAGGTGGTATTGTTAATGGATTTGTCACTTGCCTCCTGTTCCTCCACTTATGTTTACCTTGGCATTAGCACCTGCCTTTCTCTGCTCGGCCGATTTGCTCAGCATCTGTTGTCAGCACAGCACTTCTCACAGAATACCAGCTGCAATTTAATATATCAAACTGTGGCCCCATCAAGGTCTAAAGGTGGAAATCCATCCAGCCTTTGTATTTGGCCTCCTGCACCTGTAAGGCCAAATACACTGTTGTGACAAATGATCTGCTGGTCAGTTTGTACTGCATACTTTATAACCTGAATACAAAAGAGAATGAAAGCACTTTTCCATTGGTTTAAATCCCAATATCATATCTGCCAAAACAATGTACCACAATGCACAAACGTTCATGCGTGCAACTGTTTGACTGCCTGTCAGGGTGAGTTATTCATGTACAACCACAGATACAGACAACACTGCAGGACTGTGGTACAAGGAAGAACCACTTGTGCGCAGGATACTGGCTGACGCTTGTTTTCGTCATCCTAAAGAAAGGCTGAGAGAGGAGAGGAGGAGCAGAGGGCAGGAACAACAGAACAACTGAATGTGAAGAACTGAAGAAAACCAGTGATTCAGTAAGATACGTTATTAACGTCTGGGTAACCAGTCGGCCTTCTCAGTGCTCACTCCTGAATCTTTTTCTCATGAATACGTGATTGCACAGAGTCCTTTAGCCCTACTTTCTAACTGCAACAATGCAGTACAACCTCACGACCTTTGTGTGTAACAGACCTCTGTCTCACACTAATGTAAACACATAAGGTCAAACTGGCTTTCTATTTTAAGAAGCAACAGAGAGGCCGGTCAGCTAATAATGTGTTTCCTGATTGTGAAAAATATGGTTCAGGCTACTAAAGTGCCTGAAAACCAGCCACTTGTTTCACTGTGAAATGTAATTATTACAGGAACTTTCACATAAACTAAACTTTTCTTTGTTTTTTCATGCAACACTGCTGACACTTCTCTTACCACTGCAACCCCTTTGGACCTTCGACATCTGTTCAAGTTTTTCCTTCAGCCCCTGGTGTAGTCGTTTTCTTGACCTCATTCTTCTTCTGCTCTTTGTCAACCACCATTATGTCTTTATGGTGGCCAGCAGCTGCTTGTCTGCAGCTTAAAGTCCCACTGGACCTTAGCCCTGTTGTTGTCATCCAGCTGTGTCTTCCACCGCAAATAGCTGCCAAGATGATCCCAAACTGTCTCGATGATACTCAGGTCCAAGCTCTGCGGAGGACCATCCTTGACTTACTGTGTTTTTATCTATTCAGATATGCTTTTAATGTACTGGCAGTGTGTTTGGGATCGTTGCAGTACCAAAGACAAAAGATACCTTCCAGATGGTATCGTATGATTGATCAATATCTGACATTACTTTTCTTCATAATTTCATCAGTTTTCACAAGATCTCCAACACCACTGGCTGAAGTGCAGCCCCAAGCCATGACGGAGCCTCCACCGTGTCCTACACACAGCTATAGACACTCACTGTTGTCCTGCTCTCCTGACCTTTGTTCACCATTTGAACCAAAACTGTAAACTTTGGATTCACGACTCCACCACGGACACCTCAGTCTTTTCTTCCCGTTTCCCTTCATTAAGGATGGCTTCTTGACAGCCACCCTTCCACTGAGACCATTGCTGATGAGGCTTTGGTGAACAGCAGATGCATGAGCTGAAGGTCCTCATGCATCTTTCAGGTCTTTGCTGGATTCTTTTCCCATTTCTTGAGGTCATGACTTTCAGATACAGCGCTGTTCATCGAGACTTTTGCACAGTAGTAGATTAGTGTTCAATAGACATGGTTAATGTTAAAGTTACGTTTATTTACAAAATGAATTGCGGACATTGCAGACAGAAGGCTTTAAGGCTCCTAGGTGACATTAAACTTCTTTATCCAATCTGTTTTTAAACCTCAAACAAATTAATTATTTTGGCTTTTCAAAGTCAAGTTTCCTGCTTTTATTTGAAATCTAAGCTGCAGTTTGGGGGAAAATCTGCTTTCACTGGGCGCTGTGACTTATTCAGACTGACTCACATCCTCCTCTTTTTTAAATCTGATTTCGAGATAAAACAGATGTAAGATGAAACTGAACCGACTAGAGACCAAAGAGACCACTTGAACTAAAAGAAGTTCCAGTAAGTTGCAGGCTTTCCCATCAAAATGACCTCATGCTTCATCATGCAGCTCGTCATCACTGATAAATGTAAGAAACTTGAACTAAGTTTGGAGCAAACACAAGAAACAAGTTCTAAGTGTTACCAAGAAGAAAGTATATTATTTATTTTTTGTATTTACAGTTCAGTTTACATTAAAGAAAAAAAAAATCTGTGTTTGAGAGCTGAGACCACACACACACACATCATCCTCTTTTCTGTATCGTTTGATCCCTAAATTCATTTGGAGGACAGAACATAACAGCGGATGTCAGGACACTATGATGCATCAACGCTTTGACTTTCTTATCACTGACAAGTGTTCTGGGACAAAAATAGTGAGAAACATTGTGTTTTAAAGAATCTCAGAGTTACTTGAAGAGGCTTAAACATCTGCCCATGAAGCAAACATCAAGTGCTATGAGGACAAAAGAACAAAAAAAAGTAACAATAATCTTTTGGTTGCTACGGTCTTACAACAAAAACCAGATTAGAATCGTTCAGGAGCACACGAGAGCATTTTAACATCCTGAGGATAAAAGTGAACGGGAACAAAGTCTCATCTCCTAAAATATTCTCTCTTCTCTTTGATTTGTCTTTTGTCTCGGCTTTTACCGATCGGGTCTTTGGAGGCAGAAGACTTTCACCTGGTTGTCTCCTGAAGCGGTTACAGCAAGAGTGGCTTCCCTGCGGAGACACGAGGACAGCCAGGATGTGATTAAGAGACAGTGGAAACAAAGAGTAAATATTTACTTGAACCCTGCTCACAGTTGGCTGAGTTCACATGGGTTTTTATTATAAGTAGTTCAGTGATTTAACAAAGTTTTGTGTTGCAACGTTATCGAGTTATTCGTCACCACGGGGGGATTTGAGGGGTGGATGAAACAATAAGGGACAGCAGTCGTTCAAGCAGCTCAAACTCACACTCCTGTGTAATCCTGGAGCTGATCTCAGTGCTTTTAACTGCAAAACCTCATACTGGGGGGACTCGTGATGTAATTTGATATGCATCTTCAAGTAGCTTTACAAACCACCTCATCTGCTCCTCCTGCTGAGTACAATCTGCCATCAATGACGTCAGCTGTGTGCTGTGGGGTCTTTCTGCTGCTCTTTTCACCTCTGGATTTCCACAGGGAGAGCCAGAGTGGAGAGCAGGATCAAAAACATCAGCATGCAGTGGGAGGGTGGGAAATTCCCAGCGCCGTGTTTTACAGATGATGTGGTGTGCTTTGGATCATGAGCTGTTCCACACCTTCTCCATACTTTTTTTCTGCCATCATTCTGGTAGAGCTTTTCTTGGTTTTCCCAAACTGTGCTGGCCTTTATAGGGGAGTCAAATCTAGGCCTTCTATTCTTGCATCATGAGCTGTTGCACCTTGCAGTGAATCCTCTGTATTTACTTTCATGCAGTCTTCTCTCTTTACAGTAGACTTGGATACGCCTGCCTCCTGGAGGGTTGTTCACTTGGTGGGCTGTTGTGAAGAGGTTTCTTTCCACCATGGAAATGATTCTGTGATCACCCATTACTGTTGGACATCCAGGTCTTTGCCGAGTTGCTGAGTTACAGGGTTTACGAGCACGAACGGTTAAGGTCATGCCAAAGCATCTGATCCAGACTTCGATTCCACTCCAAAACCTTCATTCTGGCTTTTTCGTTGAGCCATTCAGATGCAGACGAGCTGCTGTGCTTCACATTGTTCTGCTGCGTAACATGAGTGCAACAACGATCCTTCAGTAAACTTGAGCTTCAGAGCATGACCTACTGGCCCAGTTCATCCTTCAGGATTTTCTGGTAGAGAGCAGAATTCATGGTTGCATCAATTACGGCAAGTCGTCCTGAACCAGTGAAGCAGCCATTTTTATCCAGTCTTCTTCTTCTTGTTGTTTAATCATGAACTGACCTCAATCGTGACAAGTGAGGCCTGCAGTTCTTTAGATGTTGTTCTGGGCTCTTCTGTGACCTCGTGGTTGAGTCGTTGATGTGCTCTTGGAGTAGCTTTGGTAGGCCGGCCTTTCCTGGGAAGGTTCACTGCTGTTCCAGGCTTTCTCCATTTGTTGTGTTTCAGTGGAGCCTCAAAGCCTTAGAAATGTAAGACCCTTTCCAGACTGAGAGGTAAATTACTTTGTTTCTCAGCTGTTTCTCTGGATTGTAGCTTGAATTGTTGTTCTTTGAGATATTTTAGCCTACTGCACTTTGTCAGAGTTATTTTTGATTCATAAACAACATTTTTAATGATCGGAAACATGTAAGTGTGACAAATATGCAAAAAAAGAGAAAAGAATAAAACTAAATCAGGAAGGAGAAAGACTTTCTCACAACCAGAAATTGTGTTCTGCATTCACAAAATTAGAATAACTAGCTTTGCTGGTGCCTCCCAGTGAAAGACTACTTCTGCACATCCCTAATTTCTAATGCACTTCAGTGCCCGTGAGCAGGGCACACAGTCCTGGCAGTGTGCTGTGGAATCATACCTGTTCATGGTGAAGTCCAGGATCTCTGCGGTGTGGCCCTTGTACTCAGCCACCAAGTTGCCTGAACGAGCGTCCCATAAGCGCAGCGCGCCGTCTAAACTGCAGGTGGACACCACAGAAGAAGACTGTTCCCACCGCAGGTGAACGATGCCAGCCTGGAGGAACACAAAGCGCGATGAAAAACAGGCAAAGGCGACACCAACACCAGTTTTAAAGCAACATAAAGAGTAAACGCTTATTACAGGCTGGAGGAAAGAGAGTTGATGTTTTTAGCTCCTTTTTCGGTAAACTGTCAAAGAGCGACTTCCTGACTGAACGTTCTCTGTCACATTATCTGCACACAAGCAACATCCCTTCAAACAAACCTCCCTAACCCTGGGAGGGTTTCTGATAAGACTGCAAAGCCTCCCCTCAATACACAGAGCATAGACCAGCATGAACACAGGCGGGACCAGACTAAACGTGCACAAACTGTGCCGCCGTCTGCCGCTTCTCACCTCGTGACGGCATCTGTGCCTCAGGGCTTGCGTGGAGAGATCATATATGGCCAGAGTCCCGTCCAAGTACGCGACAGCGATGAGCGGCAGGCTGGAAAGGGCGACAAAGGTGAAACTGTTGAGGAGGGGCTGAGGCTCTGATATGCTTCTGTATTACTGCGAGTGTGCAGCCCACTCACATGTTGCAGAATCCCACAGATTCCACAGAGTTCGATTCCTCTTCATCTTTGGAGCCTTTTCCTTTGCCTCCCTCCACAGAGAACGCGCCGACCACCTTCACACAGACACGTAAGTCAGACACAGGAAGCACCTGCTTCACTACACTTCCTGCCTGCTTGGTATTGGTTGGCTGTGGCACCCACCTTTCCCGTGGTGATGTTGATGAGCTTTGCACAGCCGTCCACTGAACCTGTCAGCATCAGAGAGCCGTCCTTATTGCAAGCCAGGCAGGTTAGCGCCCCCTGGTGTCCATCCTGACCTGTTAGGAGACAAACAGCATAAACTACATGCATCTCGGTAAACGTCTTGAAGCACCGCTCACTTCTGTATATTGTGCTAGAAGAAAAACGAAACCGGTAAAAACAATCTGTTCTGTGTCAACATGATCCACACTGCTTCAATACTGTTGAGGCTCTGGGGAGGCCAATCCATGACTGATAGTATTCCACTATGTTTTTCTACACAGGTATGGTTTTACTGCACTGCCATGTTTGGATCACTGCCGTGCTGGAAAATGAAGTTCTTGGCAAAAAGAGGCTTTCAAGATAGAAAAGCAAATGCAGCCCAAACCATGAGACGGCCTCTACAGTGTCTTACAGACGGCTGCAGACACTCACTGTTGTATCTTTGGCCTGATGTAAGACCTGCCACTTCTCTCACGTTCACTTTCTTGACTTCCACATGCTGCTTGTCTGCTGTAGAGGATTGTTTTGGCCTGCCACTTCCATCCTCCACTTGGCAAGTTTTCTTAAATTTATAGGACACACTGCACACCATGCTGAGATGTACCAAACAGTCGCCTAATAGCTCTTTGGGAATCGCCTTGTTGGCGCAAAAACTACTATTTTATGTTTGTCTCCAGCTTTATCATCTTTGGCACAGATATAAAACAACTGATGCCTTTCTGTGAGACACTGCTAGTAACAAAGTGACTAAAGATAAAGGACGTGTAGAACTGGTTCATCCCTTGCGTGAGCTGTGTTTTTCTAATGTTTGAATCATTCGGTGATGAGGGGCTTGGAAAAATTCTTCTTGTCAGGGACAAAGACTGGACTGAAAATGAGTGAGGAAAAAAAATGTCCAAAGAAAAACTATTGCTCAAGACAAATGACAAGAAAGTGTGGCTGCTTGAAAGAAGATAAAAGACTTTCACACAGTACTGTTGTTTTAAACCAAGAATTATGATCAACATTTACTGCTGCTGCTCATCCTCGTTGTTTACAACTGTTTACACATGTTAAACAACTTTCTCCAAATACGAGCTACAAATTTATTTACAGAAGACCTTAGTTTTGCTGTTTCTTTTTATTGAGCCATAACTCAACAAATCTGTATTATGCTCTGCTACTTTTATTGCTTTTCATCTGTTTATATGTAACTTTAATGTGGGAAAGAGCACCGAGACTCCTTTCATCCAGAATCTACACTATTAAACTAAAGCCAGCTGCATCTCCCCCTGGAGTCATAACAGCACCATGACATGCACAATAACTAGGGATGGGTACCGATTCTGACATAAACGGTAGTAACCAGACCGAAAAGCAGCGCACATTTCGGTGCTTTATTTTCCTGAGCTGTCACACACTTTGGATTCTAGCCAATCATTTTACCTTTGCGAGCGTAGTAGGCGGGCCCAGGTACGTACGTTCTTTTAGAGCAGAGCTACAGATAAAAAACGCCCAAAGCAAGCGGTCAAAGTCTGGCTGTACTTCACAGCAAAAGATGCAAACTCAGCAGCAACAAGTGCTTTAAGCTGATACTGTGATACTGTCAAAGGAGGTAACACC